GTGGAAAAGAGCCAGGTATGCAGAAACCGCATCAGCTACGATGGAGAGAATTCCCAGGAAAGCTTTAAAAGACACGGACTCCTAACACTCGTTTGTTTCTTTCAGGTGGGCTTCATCGACTACATCGTGCACCCTCTGTGGGAGACCTGGGCCGACCTGGTCCACCCCGATGCTCAGGACATTCTGGACACGCTGGAGGACAACAGGAACTGGTACCAGAGCATGATTCCCCAAAGTCCGTCTCCGCCCTTCTACGACCAGAGCACACACGGACACAGCGGAGGCACCGGAGGGCCGGGGGGCGGGGAGAAGTTTCAATTTGAGCTGACCTTAGAGGAGGAGGACTTGGACGGGATGGAAAAAGACGGCGACGCGGAGGAAGACGAAGAGGAGGAAGAGCTGGATGAGGAGGAGGAGGAGGAGGACAGTCTAGGAGATTCGCGTTCTCCTCCGCTGGACTATTTGGACGGTCAGGAGAATGACAAGGAAGGCATGATCGAGCCCACGACGGCGATAGAGATCGTGACGCACGAGGCTTCGCCCACAGACACATAGGGCTTCCAGCATCAGGTTCACTCGGTGATTTGAACGGCGGGTGTTTTTTTTGGAAAAAGAGGGGAAAATCCTCTCGGAGCTGTCCTTTTTAAAAAGCCCACAGAGGCAAGGGCTTAGTTTTGCCCCGCGCAGTGGCATGTTGCACTTGGGTGTTTGAAGCCAGGCACGGACGGACGGTTTCAGCGAAGCGGCTTCAGAGTTCTCAGGAAATAATTCACGCGAACAATTGAGTCTTGATGGAAAAGCAAGACTGACGGTGGGACTTGAAGGATTTCAGCCAGTTTGGAAAATGGTTACTTTTCTTTTCTGGACTGGCATTAAATGGACACTGACACTACTGAGAGAAGTTTTGTACCTTGAGACTTTTTTACCGATACACGATATGATCTAGAAGTAGCATAGAGTGAGATCTACTGATGGAGACACATTTGTATAGCAAGAGGAAGTGTTTACTTTTTTCCTGTACCATTTGTCAAAGGACTTGTGTGCCTTTTTTACTATTGTCTTTATAATAGTTTTTTATTTATTGAACACTCTAGTATGTCTGTGAAATGTTTTTTTGTTTCTTTGTTTTGTTTCTTAACTGAATAGAGCAATTTTTTTTTTGTATATTGAAAAAAGTCTTCCATGTATTGGGCAATAGAGAAACAAATGTCGACAAACAACTTTTGGACAAATTCATCTAAACGAGAAAACATTTCAGCACAAGTTCCTTCTTTACACGTGGAATTCAAATCCACGGTTCACGCCGCAGGTTTAGCTTCTTGCTTTCTGGATCACATGTCAGTCGATGAATGTCACAGTTGCACACAAATACAACACCTCTCGTTCTTGTTCAACAGCTTTTCTTTTAGTTTTTAATGGCCTGCAGACCATTGCACTTCCTGCTGTTTCAAACCAACTCTCCACTTTTAATGCAAAAGTAAAGTGTAAACTATTTGGGGCATTGGAGTTAGACACTTTTGTCTGTTCATTTTGGTGTGAAACAGGCGTTACCCACGTTCAAACCCTCATTGCCAGATAAAATAGGCAGAAACCCGAGCAAACAGGCCCTTACGTCAAGCTGCTCAGATCTGCGATGAAAAGAAATCTGCTCAGGATAAAATGCGCAACAGCGATGAGTCTATTTTTAGCCCACAGGTATGCTACAGTCGTAATAATCCTGTTAGTTGAAATGGGTTCTGACCACAGAACTGATGTAACCCCCCGCCTCTTTGCAATCAGGCCCAGACCAGATGATTAAAGGTGCTCTTGCAGCTGCCTGTCTGAAAGGCGCTCTTCG